TAGGAAAATCTGCTTAATCTAGCTCTCTGTAGTTAGTCTTTTCTTTATTAGAACTAATAATCTAATCTCTATTAGTAAGTATTATCTATTAGTGAATAGGCCCTCTAGGTATAATATTCTCCTAATTAATAAGACTATCTTTATTACTATTTAATAATTTCTAATTAGTGGCTATAAATATATTTAAGTCTTTAATAGGCTAATTATTATTTATACTTCTATACTTAGTAGAGTCTTCCTCTTAAAGCTCCTTTTTAATCTTATTATTATTAAGAGTTATATATTCTTTAAATAATTTTCTTAGCTACTTATTACTCCTTTTCTTAACTATAATAGTGCTAGTTATGTTATAAGCTTCTTTACTAGTATAGAACTCTACTATTATCCTAAGCTATTTTATTTTATTCTACTAACCCTGCTAGGGTTATTATCTGTAGTCTTTTAATATATATCTAGGTTTCCTATACTAGAAATATAACTTATTATATTATTACTATTCTCTTTCCTTACTAAAAAGTACTAATTATGTTATATCTAACTCTATTAGATATAGCCTATAAGGATCTATATATCCTTAGCTCTATGGCTAAGCTAGCCTTCTATTATTTAGTTAATAACTTATAGTATGCCTGCTACTAAAGATATTCTAATTACTTTATTCCTTCTTATATATATAAAAATCTTATAATTTATTATTAATCTTAACTACTTATTTAATTATTCTACTAAGCTTATCTAGTTACTCTATCTAAATTAGCTTTTCTTAGATATCTGGTTTTAAGCCTTCTTTAAATTATATAATATTTATATCTTCATCCTAGTTTAAGTAGGATATAATCTATTAGAATTATAATATATATTCCCTTATAGATCCTATCTATTTAAGCTACTATAGCTATCTCTTAGTGTTATGCTCTTTATTAATATTATTAAAAGTATTCTCTAACTATCTCTTAAATATATTATAACTAGTGAATATTTTATCTATTTTATTAGCTTAGTTATTATTAGTGTGCTCCTGATAATCCCTAATAAAAGGTTTAAACTAATTAAATACTAGTCTGGTTAGATAAGTTATAGTAAATAAGACCTTATCTACTTTATTAATAAGTTTCTCTTGGTTTATCTAGAGGTATATATCTAACTATATAAGAAATACTTATAACTTAGATTAACTTCTGTTAAATAGTTCTAGTGGTCTAACTTTAACAGACTTAGCTGTTAATTAACTATTTAGAGTCTTATTCTATTATATTAATCTAAGAATATGCTCCTAGAGCTATTTAATCCTACCTATTAGATCTTCTACTATAATTTAAGGCTATGCAGCTACTTACTACTATAGAGTTCCTACCTAACTAATATTTAAGCTAGCAGGGGTTTGTGGTGTATTATTTACTATAATATTTAATATTAAGTATTAATTAAACTTCCTAAAGTAATTTATACTATATAGTATTTAATATATCACACCCTAGGATCTATCTCTACTATTCTCTGCTAGTTAATAACTTTAGGAATGGGGTGATATAGTCCCTGGACTATATCTAATACTTATCTAAGGCCTACCCTCTGTGGTAGCCTACTATATATTAACCTAGGTATATAGTGTCATGTGATATAATAATCTAACTAAGATCTAATATAATCTAAAGGTATAATAATCCTATCTAGGATTAAGGATAATAAGAATAATAATAGTAGAGATAGAAGCAAGGCCTATTAAGAATATATTCTTAATAATAAGAGAGTAATTAATAAATTAGATTAGTAAACTTATACTTAAGTAAGTTATCTTTATTAAATATAAAGAACTAAACTAAGATCTTTAGATATAGTAGTAATAAGTATCCTTATATAGTTCCTTCTTTATCTACTATTCTTACTACTATTATAGGGTAGTTATAATAATAGCTATCTATCATTCCTACTACTATTATAGGGTAGTTATGATGGTAGCTATCTACTATCTACCATTACTAAGGTTAGGTATATAGTAGTTAGTTATATAACCTTTATAGCTGAATTAGGTATTATTATAATATAACTTGTCTTCTATAAGGCCTTGGTGACTAAAGATTGATTGGCCTTTGTTGTTCCTCTGATTCTGCCCCTAACATCTGCCTGGCGGTGTTAGTGTTGTAACAATAATCTTCTTACAGCATATAATCTTACTAAGAGAATAGTTAATTATTATCTCTCTTAGGGTAGTAAGGGAATACTATTAGCTATATTTTAAATAGTATATCTAGCTTAGTTAGTTTAACTAGCTTATTAGCCTTAATTATGGTGTTGCTTCCTATAAGGTAAAGAATATAGATATTCTAGATAATATCTCTATATCTAATAATTATTTTATCTAATAGGTAAGTAATAATAATACTATCTAGTAGAAGATTAACTCCTAGACCCTTATAGCCTAATCTAATAGTGCCTAAAAGGTTAACTACCATCTTAGGGATGTAGAGAATATTAGTAATAATAATATATCTAGTATATCTACCTAGATATATAAGATATAAGATAATATCTCTAATTAAATTAGAATATATAATTTACCCTATTACTATCTTAATTCCCTGTTTGCATAGCTTCCTTAAGCTATCTATAAAGTTTATAGATATTATAATAAAGTATTTAGTAGCTCTAGAGTTAATTATCTAATTACTAGTACTAGTGTGTAGGTATAGAGCTGGATTAATAGTAATAATTACTATCTATATATATTTAATATCTTATTTAACTAATTAGGAGGTAAGGATGCTATTATTATTAATTAAATTATTATTAGTAGGGGTAAGGACTCTATTATCTTTATTATTAATAGTATAGAAGGTAAGCATTATTTCTTTAAGTATTATAATAGTTAATTATTAACTATTTAGTATATTATTATTAGTACCTATTATATAAGTATAATTATAATAATTAGTTTAATTTAATTAATTAGATAAATTCTTCCTGTTAGGCTTCTTATCTAGATTTAATTCCTAGTAGTCAGGCTTCTTATAGCCTATTTTACTATAATAATAATATTTCTAGTTCTTCCTAGTTTCCCAGGGAACCTTGCTGTTAGAATCTTTCTAGTTATTTAAATTAGAATTAGAATTAGACTAATTTAATTAATTTAATTTATTCTTAGGATTACTACTCTTCTAAGCTAGCTTCTTCCCTTTCTATACTTTTATAATATTTATAAATAATATATTAAACTTTATATGCATCTCCTTCTAAATAAGAATCTATATAATATTATTAAATATAGTAATTCTCTTATTATAGTAATTATTAAGGTAAGATATAAGGAATATCTTCTATATCTTACTAAAATTATAGAGTAAGAATTAAATCTTAATAGATTTAGGAAGCTATTTACCTTTCTTAAGGCTATAATTAAATTTATTAAATACTTAAGATAGTTTTAATATATAATCTTAGACTCTATTATAGTTATTATATATTATATTAATAGCTATTTATAGCCCCTTAAAGGACTATATATCTACTATTATATTATATTTATTATTAAGATAGTTCTAAATAGCTTTAGATAATTCTAAATTAATTACTTTATATCTAATAATATAAGATAAAATAGAATATATAGCTTTATAAGCCTTATTATCTATCTTTTTCTAATCTTAAATAGCCTTTTTAATTCTCTTTTACTACTTAATAAGCTTAGCTTTATTTAATAATCTAGTCTAATAGCCTACTTCTAGTAGCTCTAGCTTCTTATAAGTTCTATTTATAGTTTACTAAATACCCTAGCTATATAGGTATATTTTTATAGCTTTAGACTATATTTAATAGAAATCTATATCTATAAGTAATAATAACTTATAGAGATCTACTTAAGATATCTTAAAGAAAGATTTTAATAAAAGAGATAAGGTTTTAGATATATCCTTTAAGGGAATAAGATTTTAAATATATTTAAGGATAACTACTAGACTTCTATATCTATAAGAATTCTTAAATATAAGAATCTTTTACAGGGCCTTATTAATAAAGGTAATAAAAGAATAGTTTCTATCTTAGGCAGAATATCTAGCCTAGATAAATATTTTAGGTAGAATATCTGCTAAAAGAGGCTTTTAAAAGTAAAAAGTAGTAAAATAACTTAAGGAAAGAATTTAGGAATAATTCTCTAGAGCTCTCTAAGAGGCTCTGGGCTTATAACCTATAGAATAAGTAGAGAGAGGTTTAGAATATAAAGATATTTTATTAATTCATTATGTATATAAATCTATATTTACTATTATACAGTGGAAGGAGCTATCTACTAAGCAAGATCACATGATCAGATCTCCGCCATACTGAGTATGGCCACAAATGTTCCTGATCTGTTGGATGAAGCATGATCGCTGCGTCTTCCTATATATCCTGAGGCAAATACTTACATGTTGCTGCCATCAGTTGCTTCAACAAAACTAGACTGACAAGAAACAGTATTTTAGCCATAAGGTTAAGCAAGTCAGATTCTTGTCGAATCTGGAAACAATTCCCACGCTGCTTATGATCAACTGAGGTATCTCGACTTAGATTGGGTAGTTCCCATCTGCAATCCAATAAGCCAGGAATGTATGTAGTCCGATTTGATGCCTCAGGCCTTCACAAGCAAGACCAATCGGCGATAGACGTCATTTAACTAGCAGCGGAAGGATGACCACATTCATAACAAATCCTTCACTACCTACTCTGTATGATCGGCCAAAAAGGTCATTTCCCATTCAGCAACTCTCCGACAATACCCATCTACAGCTCGGTGGCAGCTGCACCCACCGAAGTAAGGATTGGGATGTTCCGCCCCATCGAGTACTACCCTACTAAAACTTTGGTTCCACTCCTCAACCACCTAAAGCGGGCAGAAGGAGATATACGCTGTAGTGGTTATCACGGCGTCCCTTTACTCCGAAATGAGTGTTCTTTAAGCTTCTGCGGATTATGACACCGAGCTTGTAATCACTCCCCTTTCTCACAGTTGTTGAGACTTCACCATGTCCATGTCCATATCCTCCCCAAAGTCCAATTCGGTCGGCCCGGATGCGGTCGCACCTAGGCGTATGACCAATTCATTCACAGAGCGAACCGTCCAGCTTGAACGAGCTATCACCAACCCTGGAGCTGTCAAGATTAACGTCAAAGGTGCTTTCATTGTTGACGAAGAGCCTCGATCGAAAAGTCCCGCGTCATCAACGGACGGCGTTCACTACGAGAGCCAGGATATTCGTCTCCCTCATCATACTGGCCTCGTGAGCCATGTCGCTGTCGATGTGAGTGCCTCTCTTTTTTTCCCGCGGTTCCCCGCAGAATCATGTCCCCCGCAATCTCGAACAAAAAAATATTCGACCACGCGCATACCTCTAAATGAAAAGGAAATTTCTCTGACCTTTCTACTTTTGCAAAATTTATAGATTGGAGGCTCGCTCGCGAAGCTCGTATATTTTACCAGAGAATTGGACTCTCCTGACAACGGTGGTCGCCTGAATTTCATCAATTTCGAGACTCACCGGATCGATTTGTGCATTGACTTCATCCGGGAATTGAAAGAGGAACATGAGAGACTCAATGGCCCCTCTAGAGATGAGCTGTGTGTCGTTGCCACGGGAGGAGGCGCCTACAAGTACTACGATAAGCTGAAAGAGACGCTGAACGTGAACATCATACGGGAAGACGAAATGGAATGCCTCATAACAGGTTAGTTTACTGGATTATCTCAATCTTCGCATGTCAGAAGCGAATACTGAACTAATTTTTGCCCCAGGTCTTGACTTCTTCATTACCGAGATCCCCAATGAAGTGTTTACCTACAGCGAAGCCGAGCCGATGCAGTTTGCCGAGGCCCGACCGGATGTTTACCCGTACCTATTAGTCAACATCGGGTCAGGAGTATCAATGATCAAAGTATCCGGCCCAAAGCAATTTGAGCGTGTGGGTGGTACTCACCTTGGCGGTGGCACATTCTGGGGCCTGATGTCGTTGCTGACCGGTGCTCGGACCTTTGACGACATGCTGGCCATGGCGGACAAGGGCGACAACAGTGGGGTGGACATGTTAGTTGGCGATATCTATGGCATGGACTATAGCAAGATCGGACTTAAGAGCACTGCCATCGCTAGCACATTTGGCAAGGTCCTTCGTTTACAGAATGCTGCCGAGCGACATGCGGAGGATGGGGAAGGCCTCTGTCATGGCGGCCCTGAGCAACAAAATGGTGAAGTCAAGTTCCGTCATGAAGACATGAGCCGAAGCTTGCTGTATGCTATCAGGTACGTTCCTGCTTGTCATCAACGACCTACCAGTGAGCAGTCGGCGCTAACAGCATTCAGTAACAACATCGGGCAGATTGCCTACTTACAATCTGAGAAGCACCAGGTCAAGCACATATACTTTGGAGGCTCGTTTATTCGGGGCCATCACCAGACGATGAATACATTGTCGTATGCCATCCGATTCTGGTCCAAGGGTGAGAAACAAGGCTACTTCCTGCGCCATGAAGGCTACCTCGGCGCTGTTGGCGCATTTCTCAGGAGGCAACCGGAGAACTGGGGTCGGAGAAATAGTATTCATGACGCAAACTCTGCAATCCAGGCGGCGAAGGAAGCCGTTAAATGGAAGAAAGAAGAAGGTTTGAGCTCGACGTAGCTCGAGGGACACATCTCATCTCGCCCATCTGGATTACCAACATTTGCTTGTCTCATTTCATTTTTGATACCCGTCCGTTGACGTTTTGCCACCCGAGTTACTCATACATTGCAAGCCCTTGACGATCGACGCTGCTCGTTCAAAGTGTCCTGTTAACTGAAACACCCTCTCCAGGCCTCTGCCATACTCATTGGCCATCATCTGTGAGCGTTTGTACAGCATCACTTGTGTTATGATATTTTCTTTCCTTGTATTCTTTTCCGCCGGTCTCATCGAGATTATGTTGAAGTGAGACCGAATGGATCTCTCACCTGCTCCTCACTTACCTGCATCCATACAGTGTGGCTCATCCTAGACATTTGCTTCTACTATCACTACAGTTATACGCACCCTGCTCATCTACTGCCTTTGTTATCCTTATTTGAGCGGCTTGATTTTGAAATAGACTTTCAGCATATCTGCTTGATGACACATAGAGGGAACTTGACGTCTTCTGAGGCTGATATTTCTAAATTTAATTTATAGATGACTCTTGCGTCATGAATGATTCAAGTGCCAAGGTGGCCATGATAGGAGCAGGCATAATATTGTGATTAATCTCACTGTTCCTTCATGATCAGTCCTCTACCGAAGCCTCTTGTGGCTCCTATAGCAGAATCCTTGCATCTCACTAAGAGATCGACTGTACCTATCTACTGTAAGTTGTACAGTCGGCTATGAGTAAGTATTTAAGTGGATCTACAACGGTCGTGCATCGACATAATCACCTTAACTCAGATGCTTTTTATTGGACGAGCAGATAATGGATGACTGTATAAATATTAGGTAGACATGAGTCTCTTGTAAACAACAGCAAAACTCTTGTTCACAAATTCGGTTCTCAGCAGACTGTGCCTGGAGACTTTCGGAAGACACTATGGGGTGTTTTCTAGGCTACGTGCGTACTAGGTATGTAGGTTGCCGAATCCTTCCCTGGGCTTCAGCCAACCAGACTAACCAAACTGACCACTAACCAGACGCCAACAGGATCAACTGGACGAACTGAGCTAACAGGACTAACTCAATCAACTCAATCGGATACCAAGGCTTGAAACCCCACTGATCTCCAAGACGGTAAGCTAAACTGTATCTAGGGGCAAAATGACAAAATAACTGATAAAATGATAAACTAACAAACCACTTTTACCACATGGCATCCATAGAAAAAGGTACCAGGACTAAGATGGGCCAATCAGTTACGCGCTACTTTGTTGAGACAGTTGGAGCAGCTACCTGAGGTAGAAGCAATCACCCAAGTTTCTTTGTTTGTACTACGCCAGACTCCAGCGACACTTTCTCCTTTTTCTCAAGTACATTCATTTCCACCTAATATATTCTCTTTCTTCTCTATCCGGATGCACAGTATTTTCGTCCAAGTTCTCTAGCCGACAAAAGTCCTTTGAGCTTCACCGCAAACATGGGGGACCGGTACGTATGACATTGAATGCATACACGTAATACCAGACGCGCTAACATCTGTACTTGCCGTCCTAGCTCTACGGACGCAATAGATATTCACTCCGACGACGAGCGGAAACCTTCACTATCCGCCTTGGATGCGGACGAGCAGGCCTCTCGTCGGACAATTAAGATCAACCCTATACCGGAATTCGGTCCAAAGCAACCGATGCCCGACCACCTCGTTGATGTCCTTGAAGAATGGCACAAGGAGAATGGTCGTAAGCCCCCGCGGTGCGCATATGCAAACAACAAAGGAACGTACAAGTGGAAGGTCTTTGACCGGGAGGGCAAGGAGTTGGAACTTTCAAAATTCGAGATCCTCTCTCCGTGCGCGTACTCGGTCCTCGTGCTGCATTCGCCTGACTTCCCGCAGAAGCTGGTCAGAAGCCGCTGGCCGCACTGGACGAAGCACGGAAGTTTCCTGATCGCATGGCAGGGTGTGACCAAAGGGTTCGACGCCAAATGCTGCGCCATTCGTGTTTTCGCTCCGAAACTGGAGGAGATCGCCTACTCTCAGGATGTCTGGAAGGTCACAATCCCCGATCTGGACCCAGAGGGTGAGGGTATCAAGAAGAGGCCCCTGTCAGTAGCCACGGCTCCATCTCAGCCGCGCGTACGGAACCGGGGACAAGAGCGGGAACGAGAAAAGGAGGCGGAAAAGAGGAAGTGCGTGAGCCGCCCCAAGCGCGAGGTACTGACCAGCAACCCGAACTCTGGGGATGCTTCAGAGTCATCTGATGAAACAGACTCATCGGCAGAAGAATCCTCCGACGCTTCATCATCGTCCGAAGAGGAGGAAGAGGAAATCGTCCCTGCACCAATTGCCAAGAGGCGCAGGCTCCAACAACAAACATCTAGTACCCTAGTGAGGACTCGCAAGGCGACCAACCCGGCCAAGGTGACTTTCAAGCTTGTCTCTTACAGGTCGGGCGCTATTCGCGCCTTTCCCCTAGACGAATGCAAGACCGGGAGAGATCTCTTCGACAAGGCACGGACATTTTTCCGACTATTCGACAGAAATGTCGACGTCAAGATTCTTTCGTGCCAGATATCGTCTGAGCGTGCGCAACATTTTCTTTTCGGCAGCGAGGGCGAATTTGAGCTTCTCATTAAACAGGCCAAGGACAGCAAGAGCTCAGAAGATGGGACAGTTACCATTGAAGTGAACCATGTTTTAGAACCTTGAGGAGGCTACCTTAAAACTCATTTGTTTTCTATCGCATCAGGTCATCGGTTATCCAAGTTTCTCGACGATCAAGGAATGGGCGCATCGAGATTATCTCGCGTATCAATCAGTTTTTCTTCTCTTCTAGCCAGTTGCTTCGAAGTACATAATACTATTTCACAGATTCATCGATGCCGAATGTACATCAGGCGGAAATCACTGAATAAATCGTATCAATTGTTCTAGAGGGTTAGAGAATTTGCACTTGTGGAAAAGTATTCGTCTCTCTACTGGAGATAGGATGGAGGTTGCGATGGCAGAATGACTAATTAACCACGTGGGCTTGCACGTTTCCGGTCAGTTTAACCTCTTTTCGGTCCCCTGAAGACCGAGCGAGCTTTTCCTTCAAAGAAACTGCTACTAACCATGCTCCAAGCATGAATTCAGCGTCTGCTCGATGCCTCCTCCACCCGGCTCACCTCCCCCTATCCCTCCGCCCGTCCCCGTTGAGACTCACCCCAACCGAACAAGCAGCTTGAAGCCTCCACCGGAGCACCGGGCGCTCCCAGACCCCACACGGCTCGCTCCAGAAGACGCCTATTTCTCCTCTGCTCATCTAAGAGGTCGGACTGCGAATGCAAACTATGATGACTCACTCCGAGCGCTGAATGGCAACGCTGCTGCTTTGCGACCGCAGCCCGCGTTCCCGGGCGCGGACAGTCTGAAAGAGCGCAAAGTGAGGGGGCCGAGCAGACGGAGAAGACGAAAAGGGGCATGGAAGAAATTACTCTGGGTGAAGCAGTCATGTAAGTCTTGACCAGGAATTCTACGGGTGTAGAATTCGGTTGCCAGAAGGCTGAAGATCCTGACGGGCATGGCCACAGATCCGGACAACTATACCGACACCGAAACCTTTCTCGACCATCTCCAGCGCAACCCGCGCGTGCGGCCCTACGACTTCTGGCCTCTAGTGGCTGACTCGACAGTGATTGTTCAGCATGTCTCCTCGGTGGCGATCTTCGTGTGCTGTTTTGTTGGGATTGTCCAGGAGAGAGTGAGCCCTGTGTCTGTCGTTTGCTGGGGCAGTGTTGGAACGGCCATGGGATGGATTCTTTGGGACTCTTGGGTTTGGAGAGAGCATCATACCGAACAGGCTCAGAATGCGGAGCGTATCCCAGACGGGGACGATGGTTCTAGTTCGAGCTCGGCTGCGAGCTCCGTCAACCCGTCGTCGGGGGCTGCGTCGCGACTGGTTGGTCCGAAGGATGGTCAGAACGAGGTTCACGGGCTGGGACTCACCATGTCGAGCGGTGAACCTGGCGAATTGCTGCGGCGACGTAGCACAGGATTCGGTGGTGAGGCTTATGGCCCGTCTGATCCTGGCTCGCCTGGTCATCAGGCCAATGGTGGCCTCAGCAATACGCATTTATACCATGGCTCCCAGGAGACCGACGAGACTTTATTACTCTCGTCAAGGAACCGCCAACGGCTCTCGACTGTGAAGTCGGCGTTCCTGATCTACTTTTCGCTGCTGGGGCTCAGCCCGATCCTGAAGTCTCTTACCAAGTCTACCGCTAGCGACTCCATTTGGGCGATGAGTTGCTGGCTGTTGTTCATGAACATATTCTCCTTTGACTATGGAAGCGGGGAAGGCGCGGGCGCCACTAAATTCCCGGCTTCGCTGTCCACTAATGCGGCTGTGATGGCATCGACCGTCCTCGCGTCTCGTCTGCCGTCTACAACCCATGTCTTCAGTCTGATGTTGTTCTCGATTGAAGTCTTCGGACTGTTCCCGATCTTCCGCCGGCAACTACGGCACACCTCGTGGACGGGACATGTCCTCCTGACGCTGGCGCTGGTCATTGTCGCCGGGGGTGCCGTCGGAATGACCCTGCGCGGAGGATGGACCGCCGCGGTGGTCGGGTCGTTCTTGGGAAGTATTATGACGGCTTTTGCCATGGGGGGATGTAGCTGGTGGCTCATCAGTCTTCAGAAGTACAAGAACGTGGTGACAGGGCCATGGGACCCAGCGCGGCCGATTATCCGGCGGCAGTGGGATTAGCTCAATGCCAGACTGCGCGATTTTGGGAACTGGCCTTGAGCCCGTGCCTGTGATACAATTTACTTTGTGATATTCTCCTTTGAGCTTGTTGTGGTGTTCCGGTCCCGGATACGATACCCATTTGGTGTTCTACTTGATGTTTATATTTAGTACCTAACACTCTGTAAGGACCATAATCTCGTGACAGGCTTCACAAGCCAGTTCTACTGAATGTGCAGCAACTTGACAATAATTTGTAATGCCTCGTGGTTTCATGCTCGGCGCACTGTTCTCTCGTCGTGCGCGTCGAATACCGCAACCCCAGGAATGTGCTGTCGAGCATACCAGAGGCGGAGGCTACTGTTTTGAGAAGAAATCCATCTGGACAGCAGTGGAAGCAACAATATCCGGATTCAATCTCAGCAGCATTCTTGCTTTAAAGGGAGGTGAAAGATGATTGCTATCATTGCTTTGGGGGTCATCATGTGTTGTTTCAATGTATGCTTCACCTTTGCATCTGACATCAGGTATTTCTAATGGTGAAGCATACTTGAATAACTTGCATTGGGGCCGGATGCCTAGGAGCCATTCTGGCTTCTCCACTGTATCATGCTGGGGCTGGGAATGTTTATTATGTTATTTCTCTATGTGGTTGCTGATGGGGCGAAGCCACTGTGAAGGGGCCGCTTGTCTATTAGCTTCAGGATATAACTAGCCCTCACAAGTTGTGCATCTCTTTCTCTTTCTTTGATATTCACTCTGAAGGATTTTGCCAAGATTGGCACATCTCAGAGGCGTCAGACTTGTGAGGCTTGTCTCAGGCTGATTTGTCCATCTTCAGTCTGCTCGGTGGCTTTCTGCTTGTCTTCCTTTCTTCCTTTTTGACACTCTTTTCATCAAGCACTTTCCGTCTCAATTCGCTCAATACAAGATGCTCAAATCCCTCGTGTTCAGCCTCATGGCTGTCCAGGCCGCACTGGGCTTGAGATTTGCCATGTACATCGATCAGTAAGAGGCCTACCTAGACTTCCTGCACCCAACGCAGGAACAGATTGACGCGATGAGACTAACAATTCAGGTACCACACCGTTGATCTCCCAGGTAGCGACCAGACCCAGGGCATCACCCACGCCATCATGGCTTTCGCCCCATCTAAGCAGTTCAACACCGACTCCTCGTTCACTCCCTTTGAGTCTGTCGAGACGATGCGTAAGCGCTTCGCCCCCGACACCAAGGTCATGATCGCCATTGGTGGATGGGGCGATACCGCTGGCTTCTCGGACGGGGCCAAAGACGAAGCCTCTCGAACCCGGTATGCGAAGAATGTTGCAGCAATGATCAACAATCTGGGCTTCGATGGTGTTGGTAAGTCAAAAGTTGCGGGATGAAACCCCCACTCCCACATGAATATGCAGTGCTCACACTAGCTGATGGCAGATATCGACTGGGAATACCCCGGTGGTAACGGCGAGGACTACAAGAAAGCCCCCAACTCCCAGAAAACCGGCGAGATCGAGACATATCCGCTCTTCCTGCAGGCTATCCGCGACGCCATTGGCAAGGACAAGCTCCTGTCCGTTGCAGTCCCCGGCAAACGTGGCGACATGATTGCTTTCACAAAGGAGCAAGGACCCAAGATCTGGTCGTCTGTCGACATGGTCAACGTCATGTCGTACGACTTGATGAACCGCCGCGACAACGTGACAAACCACCACACCAGCGTGGCCGGCTCCCTGGATACCATCAAGGCGTACGAGGAGATCGGCCTCGACACGGCTAAGATGAATCTCGGATTCGCGTACTATGCCAAGTGGTTCACGACTGATTCGAACAGCGACTGCGCCGAGCACCCGATCGGATGTGCCGTCGTGACGCTGGAGAACCCCGATGGATCGGACACGGGCAAATCTGGCGTCCTGACCTTCGAGAAGAGCAGCATGGCGCCTGCCCCGGATAATCTGACGACTTCCACGGATGGAACCTGCGGTTACGCCAAGGGGACCAAGTGTCCGTCTGGTTCGTGCTGCAGTCAGTATGGAAACTGGTATGTTTCTTTTCCCTACTCAACTCTACTAAGACACTTCTGGGCTTGGCTAATTCGAACAGCGGCACCGGCGACGACTTCTGCCAGGCAGGCTGTCTCTCCGACTATGGCGAGTGCAAGGGCATATCCGTTACTGACTCCTGGCGCCGCGCGCTCAAGGACGGCAAGACGGATGAGCAGCTAGGCGGACAGTACTACTGGGACAGCACGGCCAATCTCTTCTGGACCTGGGATACCCCTGAGTTGATCGATCGTAAATTCAAGGACATTGTGACAGCGGAGAAGCTGGGCGGTGTCATGGCTTGGAGCCTGGGCGAGGATACTCTGAACTGGGAGCATATGAAGGCGATGCAGAAGGGGTCTGGCCAGTAGTCGGTACTTCATACGTTTGGGGGAAGGGCTGTAGCCATGTTTCAGGGTTAACACCTTTAGAATTTGATTGCGCTTTAAATCGTATTATTGATCTCTGTCCATAGTAGATAGATAAGATAGTCCGTATAAGTAGCCGTCGTCGTATGTCTGAAGCAGGGAGAAAGAATTGACCAATCCGGCGGCGGGATGCGGCACGGGGTCGGGATGGTGGCCGCCATTCCATCCGCAAACATCAATGATGCAGAGACCAGCAACACGCCTTCTATCGCTTTTAGCAATTTAAGAGGACATGGACCTCAAGGCAAGCAACATGGAGCATATCCATCTCTCTCCAGCAACCACGCTGCAACGATGAGACTCGTCTACCTCCTCCTACCCCTGAGCCTGGGGCTACCAATCACCATTCCCGTCGAAGGCACGGAAGTATACCAGCTCCAACACCAACACCAACACCCTGAATATCACCAACAACAACAGCAACAGACAATCCTCGCACAAAACCACTCAGAGGAAAACCAATCACAAAGCCAACCTAGCTCTAGTTCCCACGGCTCAATCATCAACCTCAACCTCAACCTCCGCAAGCTCAAGCCCAATCCCAACCCCGACCACCAGTCCAAAAACAACAACAACAACAACAATACCAACCAACCCACCGACAAAATCTTCCAAGCATACCTCCACACCCTCCACACCTCCCACCTCTGCGCCCACACCCTCTCGCAATACGGCCCCGAGCTCCTCGCCCTCGCGCTCTTCTCCCTCCTCCCCATAACGCTCTGCATCCTGGCCCTCGCAGAGCGCATCTCCCGCTCCTGGACCGTCGAGGCGTATCCCGAGCGCGGGCGCGACAGGCGCCGGTTTCTGGGACGTGAGCGGCGGTGTCTGATGCAGGCGAGGAGGGAAAGGGAGAAGAGAGCTGTGCTGGAGAGGGGGTGGTGGATTGCGGAGCGGAAGCGTTGATGACAGTTCAGTTCAATTGTCTTGAGTATTTGATCTGATCTGGTGACCGTACCTGAACGGGAAGATGAAGAAGCTTGCAGATGCGTCTCAGTTCTTCTCGCTGTCTCTACGAGGGAGAGTGGTGCGCTGCCCTGATGCGATTGGTTTTGCTGAGGGTGACGCTGCTCGAATGCGGGCAGATTAACCGGATTCTTGACATGTGATGAAAATCGCATTGTTTGTGATGGTGATGCGGTGGTCCGTGGATCGGACCGAACGAGCATTAGGATGGCTGGTCCATCTTGATTATTCCGCCCAGAGTTGAGTGAGATCTGATATGAAGACGGAATATCCGACGACGAACTTATTTACAGTCTATCGTATGTATAATACAGTCTGCATAATATACATTACCCATGCTACGGTTAAACCCGGCATAACCGACCATTCTGATCTGGCAGCCCGTCCTCACTCTCCACAGTCCAGTCCTCACTACCCACAGCAGTAGGGGCATAGAACAATCCAAACGGATCATACCGCTGCTTCAGCGTATACAGCCGTGCATAGTTCTCGCCATAGAACGCCTGCTGGAAGTTTGGCTCGAGGATATCCGCCTCCGACATGTAGGCGCCTGCATCAGGGCAGGTAGCTCGCCATTGTCCCAGCACATGGTTGCTGAAGTAGTTCATGGTATCCAGAATCTCCGCGTTGGTGGCATTGCTGGCCCAGCTGGCCGAGGTGATGGCGTGCAGGAGGGTGTTGCGGAAGGCCGGGTTCGCAGAGCTGGCCGGGTAGCCGTCCGGCAGCTCGGCCTTGAGGTTGAAGGCGAGCATGGGATATCCGGCCTCGACGGTGGACTTGAGCGTTTCAAAGGTGGTGTTGAGGAGAGTGGCGTTCTCCCAGTTCGCATGGGGGAAGAGCCGCGAGCCGGTCATCATCGTCGACGAGGCGACCGTCTCCAGGGGGAAGCCGGCCTGCCAGGCGTCGTAGAAGTTGTCGTAGTAGGTCGAATTGGGGGTATAGGTGATACCGAGCTCCTCGAGCTGGTCGTACCAGGGCCTTATAAGAGCGTTGAACTCCGCGATGGTGTGGTTGATGGCAAAGTAAGGGTTCATCAGGAACATGAAGGAGTCGGTCCCCGTGGCCATGACCCAGAAATAGGCGTAGGTGCCTGCGTCAGCGTTGACGGCGAACCGGTCAAAGTAGGCGCGCACGCCCGCCCAGAACGCGTCGACGGAGACGCTGGTGCTAGTCGAGAAGGAACCCGTCGACACAGTGGCGCCGACCTTGGGGTGGACGCGCGAAATGATCGAGGTGACCACACCATAGGTGCCTACCACGTTAGTATGGGGAACTCTTCCGAGAGACGGGACAGGACGTACCTCCACCACCTCCACGCAAAGCCCAGAACAGGTCGAGATCAGTCTCCTCGGTCACGGTGACGAAACGACCATTGGCAAGAACCACCTCGAGGGCCAGGACTTGGTCCGCAGCCAAGCCGTAGATGCTGGACATGGGGGAGTGACCACCACCGAGGACGTACCCACCGGCCACGCCAACAGTCTATCGTTCTGTCAATGACGAGTCACAGGGAGCCACGAACGAGCTTACCTTGCCTTCGCCACCAACGGCCGTGAACCCGAGTTCCTTAGCCTTGCCGTAA